TGTTTCCATGTCGAAGTTGTGTGTGCTGTATGTGTGTGTACCTGCACGCAGGATGGGAAGTCAGCAGCGTTGTTTTCTCTTTGTCACTTCCTCCCCTGGAGAATTTACCAGAGATCTCCCCGTTGGGCATCTTGGGCTTGCAAAGAGCAAGTTGCCTTGACAACCGAGAAGTGCATCCTCTGGTGAGCTGCGGATTCCCTGCCTTTTGTTGGCTGCGGTATTTTTCCATGGGAAATGATGAGGGTTTCTCCCTTCTGGAGCTGTGTTTGAAGGGTGCTGGGGTGTGGCAGCAGGTCTGGGCTGTTCTGGAACCCTGCGTTGGTTTTCCGCATGGGAACAAATCCGGTGTTAGTGAGCTGACTGCAAGAGATAAGGAATAATGAAGTTGAGCGATACAGGGTGTTAAAGCACTAACACCATGATATGTAGCTCATTGCCCTAAAGAGACTGAAAGTAGGAATGCGGATTGTGTAGACTGGTTTTTAAATTCTTCATGAATTTTATTTATTTATTGGCTAAAGGGGAAAATGACCAATTCAGTCTTTCTGCTCTGGAATCTTACGTTTCTGAACTAGAGATAATAACCGGAGGGCAGAGGAGCCAAGGTGCGCATTTATTGTTTTGCCCCATTATGTTGTCTTCACAGTAAAAAATCAGACAGAAAGTTTTGAAGAGACTCAATGAGAATTTGCAGTTGAAAATTTAATGCAATAGTAAACTACTATTCCCTAAATCACTTCTTTTGCTTCTTTGCACCACACTTCTCATTAGGTGTTGGAGAACTCATCTAGAATCATAGAATGGTTTGGGTTGGAAAGGACCTAAAGATCATCCAGTTCCAACCCCCTGCCATGGGCAGGGACACCTCACACTAAAACATCTCACCCAAGGCTCTGTCCAGCCTGGCCTTGAACACCACCAGGGATGGAGCATTCACAACCTCCCTGGGCAACCCATTCCAGTGCCTCACCACCCTAACAGGAAAGAATTTCCTCCTTAGATCCAATCTAAACTTCCCCTGTTTAAGTTTGAACCCATTACCCCTTGTCCTATCACTGCAGTCCCTAATGAAGAGTCCCTCCCCAGCATCCCTATAGATACCCGTACTAATATCTGTATCTAGATACAGATATCTAGGAAAATTGCTACACTTGAATTAAATGTGCAGTAAAAAACCAGTTTTACTGCACGACCTGAAGTATCATTTCCAAAAAGCACATAACCAAATGAGAGACTCTGCAGTGTAACACACTGTACCTTCGTAACACTCCATGGAGGAGTGAACTTGGGCTGAGTATGTGAAGTGTGTCTCACCTGTGGTTTCAGGGTAAACGAACTGGCCGAGATAAGGTGCGTCCAAACCAGAGGAAGTAAGATGATGTGCATGTCTTGTTTTCTTCCTAGATTAACTCTGCTGCTACCATGCAAACTAATTTAGCTTTAACATACAGTTTTCCTGGTTGGTTTGCTGCAAGCTGGCTTCAGTGTAATGATGTTGTGGGTTCATCAAATGTATTAAACCAAGCAGTTGGAAACTGAAAATTAATCCAGGGCCTGGAATGCCATCTTCAACGTCAGCAAGTTTTGATATCCATGAAAAGCAAAGGTGGATTCAAGTAGGATTCTGCTATTTTCAACTTCAGTCTTGGTACAAGAGGCAAAATATCATTGCTCTTTTCCAGTAAGCTTTTATGAATCATTTGCATTTATGTCCCTTCTGTAGCTGCAGAACTGGTTTTGCTCCAGGAATCGGGAAGAGTGTGTTGGTTGCATGGCATTTTTTCTCTGCATTATCCAAGGCCTATCAAACTCATGGTACAGCTCACTGAGAGCATGTTAAAACATTCCCTGTTCTTGACCTTATGAGAATACACATGTACTGCAGCTGGCTGTGGATCCACAGACACTGGAATACCCCCTGGGTCTCCTTATCCCTCTGTGATTGGTCATGTTGGTGAATCAGCATTCCCAGGAGCTCTGGAAATCACTTCTATCCCCGATCTGTCCTGGGTTTAGTGTTTAAGTTAGCCTTAACAGAGCATAAGCCTTAAATAGATTCTTTTGCTTTCTAATAAACAGTAATGGTCTTCATCATGGGCAGTCGTGGGTGCAGAGGTGACAGTAAACCTAACGATGTGTGCTTTTACATGTAATCTATGTGAATTAAAATGCCTCAGTAATGTAATGTTTTGTCTATTATATGTATTTTAATTGTGCTTCTCTCCCTGGCTGTATTTTAACAGTAGCTTTGAAGTGCCTGAAATACATAAATTCATTTTTATGTGAAAAGACAGCGTCCATGTTGAGAGATGTTATTGAGGTATTCAAAAACCTGAGGGAAATATCTGCTCAGCAAGTTATTTCCCAGGCAGGTCATAGGAAGAGATTAACATTTCTCTGTATGAAGAAAGTTTGCAAGTCAACACCCTGTGTATAAGGCACGACATTCATTCACGTTGTAGGTTTTCTGTAAAGAAAATGCTGTAGATCTGCTGGTTTTAATGTAAAGCAGTTTTAATACTTGGAAGACATTTTCCTGATCCTTTGGTCATAACCAGACATCATTAGCTGAGTTTCTGGCATACTTTTGTCTTGCCCCCTATTCTGCGTTAAGTTCTGTAATGAAGGGCAAGGTTAAAGGCTGTCCTTATATCCATCAATGTCAGTTATTACTGATGAGTTGTGACATCTCTGCTGAGTATAGAAACTTCCATGAAGCTCATAAGAGATGTTTGGTTTAGGGTTGTGCTTCAGGGTGAACTGAATAACATGGAGTATACACAGCAGCTAATTCTCAAAGACAGGTAATAAATAACAGATCTTTCAGGGTTTATTTCTGCCCCCTCACAAACTTGGTGGCACAGGTGGTAGCGTCTGTAATGGCTTCCCTATGTTTATCTAACTTCATTTCCATGCCCATAGCTTAATTTTGCTCCAGTATCTCTGTAAATTCTTTTAAATAGTACTAAGAAGATGACAAAGTGATGTGCCTGGAGCTGAGTCATAATTGAAACACATTGCTGTAGTGTCTTGGGAAGCTCTTAATGCATCATCTATGAAATGCCTTGATTTGGATTATTATTGTATCCTGTATTGTATTGTATCCTCCTGTTACATGCTTGCCAGTGGTGAAATTCCCACTCTGCTTTTACTAGGACCTTAAGCCAGAAGGCAGTTACAGGAACTCACATCTAAATGTGAAAAACTTTCCTGAGCACGCTCATGATGTGTCCTGGCTGAAGGGAAATATGGACCTTTGATAAGGGTCCGATAATTTAATAATGTAATAATAATGTTGTTCTGAATTACACATTTTTTGACCAAGCTGTGGACAACCTACCCAGTGCGTTTAAAGTCTAAGAAATAAAGCTGGTGTTTTCCATTCAGTGCCTGACTTGGAACTCAGTGAAAAGGTGGATATTGAAATTGCTTCTTGTGTCTGAGGAGCAGGATGGTTTTTCTGAGATCCCATATGTGAGAGCATCACAAAGGCATGGCCAGCAAAGCTCTTTCTTTAAACTATGTCTTCATCTTGTACAAATAAAGGATATTGGGGGTTTTCTTCCTTTTTTTGTGCTGCTTTCATGCAAACAATGGTGATGGAAGAAATTGCACATTTTAAGCTGTATTGCAGTTTAAAAAAGAGAGATCACAATTGCCAAAATTCATATCCCAGGTATCAGACTGTCTGCATTTATAAAGCTGAAGGAAGAATCATCCAGTTTGAATATGCTTTTCAAGTGACACGTGGTTATTCTATCAGAGGATTACCTGACATTACTGCCTGCAGTAGCAAAATACTGGAGTCCATGGATCAAGTCTCCCCTTTCAGTCTTAATGGTTTTAAACTTGTCTGTGAAGGGGAAAGTTTGTATCTTCCAGTTTCCAGCGAGGCTGCCAAAGGTATATGCCAGGCCAGGCTTCTAAGATGATTTATTGCATGACTTTGAATAAACTTTTCTTTCTGTGAGTTTCTTTGTAAAACAGTGATAATACACAAATACTGTACTTCTGCAGTGAGAAAAGCAGTTCTCCTTAAACATGGAGCATATGTCAGTGGCACAAAGTAAAGTGACCGTATTAAAAGTGATTTGCCAGACACACTAGATAGATGGGGGGAAAACGCTTCTATCCCAAAGGCTTTACTTCTGCTGGTATATGGGATTGTTTTGAGAAAAAGAGGGGTATTATGTTGTAGCCTGCATTGGCTTTTGGTGAGTCTTACTTTTTCTCTTCTTTTAACTTTGAGATTTGAAATGCAATTTACTTGAACAATTACATGGTGTCTTAGATGAAATACTGAGACTGTTGCAACCTTCTGCAAACCAGACTCTGTTGCCGGGGCAGAGCCTTTGTATGTAATATTTCCCTTGCTCCCTTTTCCAGATCAACACTTGATTGAAAATCAAAGTTGATTGTGTTGCTGGTTTGAAAGTGGCCATGTTCATCTGCATTAATTCTCATGTGTGGGTTTTTTTCCTAACGTAGGTAATTTTTCGTAATGCATGTCAAAGATTCCCTAACTCTTGCTATGCAGTGATGTGAAGAATTACATTTTAAAAGAGAATGTGTTGAAGAGTGTTTCTGCCCTGAAATACCATCTGTAGATCGTAGCATGACATTTTGGAAAAGCATTTTTTGTATTTCCAAACAAAAACACCAGATAAGGCTGCGTTTGGCATGAAAATGAGTGATTTCTTTTTTCCTTTGGCTTTGGTTTTCGCTTTGGTTTTGCTCTTCTAACCAGATATCTGCCTTTATCTGGTTATACATGAACACAGTTTCCCACTTCATTCAGTGGTGTCAAAAGTATTGCTGGAATGAGTCTTTGAAGTTGTGTCTGTGTAGCTTTTGTTATGCAGCCTTTCTCCTGGGAATGCCACCTCAGATCCAGTGATCTTCAGTTCTAACCTTCACCCGGTGATCCGTTCTGCCAAGGAAACTGGCTGCTCTTCTCACTTTCCTGTTTTTGTGTGTGTATGTGTGTGTATGTTCTTCAGAAAGCCAAACTTGGGCCAGCTGGTAACAAAGTCATTACTCCAACAGAAGACAGGATCTCAAGTGTGCCATCCAACAATCTGGACAGGGTGAAGCTGACAGACTTCAACTTTCTCATGGTTCTTGGAAAGGGGAGCTTCGGGAAGGTAGGAATGAATTCTCGATAGCTCTTCAGTCACATTCTTCTTTTTATCTTTCTGTCCTTGAGGAAGGATGAATTTATAGATCTGTAAGAAGCAAAATCCAGAGCCAAAAGGATGTGCGTTTTTGAGGGAGGATTTTTTAACATGGAAAAGGGTGATTCCTTAAGGACTAGCAGGCTTCAGTTATGATTGGCAGTATAAAAATACAAGCACTCAGACTGTTGGGCAGGATGTAAGAAGCATCCTTTTAGATCCTCACTTCTTGGCAGTTTCAATGAAACCAAGTCTACTTTTCTGGCTTTGCCACCTAGGTCTCTGCCACTTCTGGAGGTCATCAACATTGGTAAGGCTGAATAGTGGGGGAAAAGCAGGAATAGCATACACGTATTTGAAATCTGGTAGTTCAGAGAAAGGGCTGCTGGTTTTCCTCTCTATTCAAACAAGTACTTCTGTGATAAAGTGCCCTTTACTGAAGAAGTCCCCAGGGACTTAACATTTTATCAGCCCTTTTGGCAATGTGCCTGCGATCAACCAGAGGGGTTTGGCACAGACTTTGGCTGAAATGACTGGTACAGCTCATTGCAGTGGGTGAGAAATGATGGTACTTTTGGAGTTTTGATCAAGTTAGTCTATACCATTAAAAGGAAAAGCTGGATTGCTGTCTATACAAATCTTCGGGCATATAAGTCACCTTCCCTCCTTGGCAGGTAAGGAAGATTTTCACCCTTTTGCCTCTCTTTGTGCAGGTGATGCTGGCAGACAGGAAGGGGACAGAGGAGCTCTATGCAATCAAAATACTGAAAAAAGATGTGGTGATTCAGGATGATGATGTTGAATGTACAATGGTTGAAAAGCGAGTCCTGGCGCTGCAAGACAAACCACCGTTCCTCACGCAGCTTCACTCTTGTTTCCAAACAGTTGTGAGTGAGCTCTGTCCTTCTTGCAACTCTGGCGTTTTCCGTACTATGTGACCGTGGATTTTATCAGTTCAGTAACTTTTATTATCATCCAACCTATGTATCATAGATTCTGTACATGGAAATTGGTGAAGAAAGAGGTACTGCATGTAATTAACACTTTGTGTGTTAAATACAAAACCTAGGTTTAATTACTGCTCTTCATACAGTAATTCAAGCAGACCAATGTGACAGTTCATAAGTTAATAATGTGTGCTTTGCTAAGGCAGAGCCTTAAGCCCAAATTCCCAAAGGTTCCTAAATGCTTCTAAGGATCTGAGGATGTAACTTGAAAAGTCTCAGTGGTTGTTATTATATCATGAGGTGATAGTCATGAATCAGTGTTGGTGGATTTAATTTAGTTTTCAGGCACACCAGCACAGAGGGAAAACACTGGGTTGTTTCCTTCCTTCTTTATGAATACTTGAGATGGACGTTGCCCCACCACACTGCAAAACATCTCCCAGGGACAGACTGCAGGATGGATGTGAGGGTCCAGCGGCACCGTGCCAGTCTGTTGGATGATATGGAAAGCTGCGTGGTAGAGAGTTGGCATTTAGTGTGCTTTTGATTTCCAGGGTGGGCATGGGTGCACACCCCACCAGTAGTGAACTGGCACCAGATGTTCCAGACTGCGTAGAGGTATTTATTCACAAGAAATCAAGGCTCTTCTTGGCTCACTTGTAGCCATCTTATGATGGTTATGACAGTGGCATTGTATTGGTGCCTCAGGGCTGTGTTGTCACTTGATGGGGTGATGGAAGGACATGTTGTTTTTCCACTTGAATATTCCTTATCTTTTACGTCTTACATTGTTGATGCCTTTTAATCTAAAAACAAACAAACAAGCAACAGACAGTTAGTTTGGATGAATAACATTGTAATGTTCCACAAGCAAGCCACGCCATCCCGTCACCATTTCAGAGCATAATTGTCTGTGTTGTTAGAGGCATTTTCAAACTCTCTTTAATGTCTACAAATCTCTGAGCAGAAAATGGCCTGAATGCAGCAGATTTGCAGACATAATTAATCACGATAAAACATGAATGTGGGAACTATTGCACTTGGTAATTCTTGTTTGCTTGCTTTCTTAGGTTTTTGCTGCCTCTATTTACAATATGAAGATACTTATAAGAAGTCCTAGTCAGAAATAGACATATATGTATCTCCCTCTAGTTCTATATATAACACTATTAGTAGCCAAAAACCTACTATTATTTTCAGCAGTAAATGAAAAAATCACTTTGTTTGGTCCTGTTTTTCTTTTGAGCAACTGTGTCTTAAATGTAAAATCTTAAAAGTATAAATGTCTGGTGTTTTCTGGCAAAGGGGAATGGAGGAAAAAAAGTGGGGTTTTAGTATTGACAGTATCACTTTTTGTCTTATCATGTACAAGAGCAGTGGAGCTACAGAAGGCCTAGATAAATCATTAACACCTTTGCCTAATTTACTTCATGTTTTCCAAAGTGTTGAGTAGTTTGCACTTGGTGTTACGAAATATTCTGGAGGCTTCATATTAGCTGTAAAAATGCGGTATTGTGTGTGAAGGAAGAGGCATAAACTGTGGTCGTAGGGAAATTGATGATTTTGGTTAGTGCTTGTAGATACGGGCTCCTATTTTGCAATAACACAATTCCTACAAAAATCTGAATTTTATAAATCAGATCTACCCAAAGGAACACTTTGCTTGTGGCTTGTCTGTTGGACCCAGCTTAGGAAATCACAGTTTTGTAATGTATGTTAATAATCTGAAATCCTAGGTACTGGATGATGGGAGACTTTCAATCAATGAAGGAAAGAGATTGACCAAAAGCATCTTACTAATGAATCTCTTTCCCATCAGAATATTGGATCCAGACTTTCCTACGAATACTTCAGGATAGTGATTCTGTCCAAAATAGCCGAAGGGAAATGGGAGGAAGCCAACAATCTGTCTTCCATAAGTGGGAGGAAGACTGTTAATGTATCTCATCTGCTGTCAGGATCATGGTATAACTGCAGAGGGTAACGTTAGGTGGTCAGAGTCACCCACTCTAAATCACCCATGTTTGTAAACAGTGTAATCTTCCAAAGTCACTCGGAAGAGCTCAGCTGTAGTGCTCTGAAAGCTGGTGAATAGACTTACTGCTTGAAGTCTTACTGTCTGAAGGTCACTGTGGAAAACACGCCTGAAGTGCACCCAAATATGTTATGGTTGTGTTTGATTTGAGATACCTGGGTACGGCCTTTAAAAGTCCTCACTGTGCAAGAACAATCTCCCTCCACAATACTTTTACTGCCATCTTCCTCTAGCTGAAATACGTGCCTGCAAGAGATTAATATAGAGTCACTTGTAAAGGTTCCAGATACTTTTGTAAACCCTACACAACTTTTCTTCTTGCCTCTTTGTAATCATAAAAGAAGTATATGTGAATACCTCCCATCCTCAAAAGGAAAACTTACTGGGATGGATTAGAAATGGCCTCAAAGCAAGAATTTTCAACCATCCTTGTTTTTTAGATATATATATTTTTAGAGAGTCAGATTTTTCATACAGAACTGCATGTGAGTAGTTATGGGAACCATTGTAGACTAGTATTATGTAAAAGTACATCACTAAAATTGGCAAGATCAAGACAGATCTCATCAGTCCATATACTCTTGCTGGTTTTACAAGACATTCCACTTCCATTTCCTGACCTATCAATTTTGCCAGAATGTACAACCAGTCCTAATAATCTTATAAAGCATTATAATGATGTAGTAGTGACTTTTTTTCCTGATTAATGCTTATCTGATATTTTCTGTAATGTATTTATGTGCATCTTTAATACTTTATCCTAGGACCGTCTCTATTTTGTTATGGAGTATGTGAATGGTGGTGATCTCATGTATCACATTCAGCAAGTAGGAAAATTTAAGGAGCCACAAGCAGTGTGAGTGTTCATGTTTATATATTTAAATCATGTCATCATCTTAATTCTACACAGTAAGAGGATTAGGTTTCTTCTGCTTGTCAGGTTCAGTATGAAGTCAAGGCTGGCCTTTTGAATTGTGTTTTTTAGGCCCCAAAGCTGAAATTTATGTTAAAAATTGCACACACAGACCAAGGTTAGCTGTGCCTTTCTTTTGAAAAATAGAGCACGAGCAAAGGCATGCGATGCCTACTTTAAAAGTGACAAGAATTTAAACAAGGCATCAGGAAATTAAAGATGTTACTTGTTATGCTGGTGTTGTTTTTCAAGGCGAATATAAAAGTGATTAGAACATTTCAGACTGAATTAATGTTACAGGGAAAGGCAATACCAATAGACTCAGGACTGCAATATAAATCATAGTTTATACAAGATAAGTTCAGTGTATAGCTTGTGAGAATATCTCTGGTGTTATTATTGAAGAGGTTTTGTGAGGAGCTAATAAATGATTAGAAGTTGTTTATATACATGATCCCTTTTAGGTAATTGTACATCTGGCATATCAGTGAGCAACTGATAATGATCTGTAGCATATCAAATGTGAATACATCCATCAGTACCATTTTAGTCATGCTTCTGTCATCTCATCCTCATTTATTAGTGTTTCATAAATTATTTACCAATGAAACTTTGGAATCAAGTGTGACCAACTGTTTCAAGGATTAAGCTGAAATAATTTCTCATTTTGATGTAAGTAATCAGTGCTTCCTTAAATGAGAGGCCTTCTAAATATAAATATCTGAGATAGAGAACAAGATTTCACAACTTGCTGAATAAAAACTAGAAGGTGTCAGATCCTCCTTGACTCCCAACTAATGTAACTTGCCAACACCCGTTGAAAGCTATGGTACTTCATGACAGCTTATGCCTGTGGAGCATCTTCCAGCACACGCATTCACGAACACCTCTGATCAAGTGTTTGAGCTGAGCTTCCCTTTCCCTTATGCTAGCCTAAAAATTAATCTCATCTTTAAATAATCCTTTCGCATATAATTTGCACAGTTCCACAGCAACTGGCTTCAAACATCCATCAGTGTTACATATCTTTTAACTGCATTCAGCAATTATAGTTTATATGGTAATCATTTTAATTAGCTTTATGTAATTAATCTATTAACAGCCTGTATAAAGGAATACCATTTCTGCAGCTTATTTCAGGGCATGTGAATTGCGATGTACATTGAGCAGCATCCTGCGTTCAGCCTTGATATGTGATTAAAGATAATGACCTTTGCAGGCAGAGTTAGATCAAAGCAGTAAAATGCTGTGCTCCTGCACCATTTTCTTGTGGTCTGGGGAGATATTTTCATACTTTTTTCTAAATTCTACGTAATTTTATCATCAAATACTCAAAATGTTTCTGTTAAAGTCAAGTTGAAGTATCTTTTATGTCATCCGCCTGCAATATGTACTTTTTTACTTTATGTGGATACCCCATGTATATTATATACTTTATATGCTATTATGCCATCATTCTTTACCATGATGCATTTCCAGACTGTTTTGCCTGAAGGAAATCATGAGGCAATAAGAAATCTGTTGGTTTTTTCATACAGGTTCTATGCAGCTGAGATCTCAATCGGGTTATTCTTTCTCCATAACAGAGGGATTATTTACAGGTGAGTATAACCTGACATAAACTATTTCTGAACGGAAAGGATCAGTTTCTTTAATATTTCTGTGCATTTTTAAAGCCTTTTTTGTAAGAAGGAATCACTGCAGTGTTCTTTTTGTTGTGTCACTGCTTGACCTGAGCGTTTCCAACATCTGTGCTCTGCCCAGTGCAAATGAAAACTCTTGAAAATGAAAAACATTATGTAGTGAATTCCTGTGTGTTGCTGAACACTTTCACACCCTCAGAAGTCTCAGTGTGAGTGTGCTCATGGTCATACACAGCCATCTCTTCATTGGTTTTCCATTTTCAGGGCTTATGGTCCTTCTTATGTGTCTGCAGTGCGGTGCCCCGCTCCCTCCAGGCTGCTGTGCATGTGCAGCCCTGTTCCCTCCACCCCTCAGAAAAGCCACGCATGTTCCTCACCTAGACTCAGATGTAGATAAGTTGGCCCTAGCTGATCCTAAACATTAACATTAAATTACTGTGATTCTTCATAGAGATCTGAAATTAGATAATGTGATGTTGGATTCAGAAGGACACATTAAAATTGCTGATTTTGGAATGTGCAAAGAACATATGTTAGATGGAGTAACAACCAGGACCTTCTGTGGCACTCCAGACTACATTGCACCAGAGGTAAATATTTACCATTTCAAGAACCTTTTAGTTTCTCAGATGAAAATTGTCCCTACACGAATCTCACACCACCAAGTTCGGATTGCTGTCACTCTGGATCCTCTGCGGATGGTACCATTTATACTTCTGCAGGTATATCGAATAACTTTGTGAATGAATACAGTACTATCAATAAGACTTCCCTGTTCTAAAAAATACCCGATTGATTGAAAACCTGACTTCTTATTAAATCAGAGCTTCAGAGTTTGTTGATGAGGTCAGCACACGTTTTATTGGGAGCAAACCCAGCTTCTTTAATGTATTTTTTCCTACAGCTGCCAAAATCCCTCATTTAAAGGGTTGTTTGGCGTTTTCAGGACACCACAAACTATTTGTTGCTTTTTGGGAGAGGTCTCATGAGGTCTTGAAGCCTTTTCTGCCCTCCCTGCAAAACTACTTTGTCTTTTCCAGGCCACGTCTTACAATCAGGGGAAGTTTAGATTGGATCTAAGGAGGAAATTCTTTCCTGTGAGGGTGGTGAGGCACTGGAATGGGTTGCCCAGGGAGGTTGTGAATGCTCCATCCCTGGTGGTGTTCAAGGTCAGGTTGGACGAGGCCTTGGGTGAGATGGTTTAGTGTGAGGTGTCCCTGCCCATGGCAGGGGGTTTGGAACTGGATGGTCTTAAGGTCCTTTCCAACCTTAACTGTTCTGTGATTCTATAAATGGTACACAGGTATCTTGAGTTATTGCTCTTGATCTCAGGAAAGCTCCAGTCATTGGAAGCCTGAACAAAGCCAAAAGATAAATCAGGGCTTGAACAGAGTTGACATAAGAAATCCATCATTTGCCTTGAGTTTTGTGTGACTTGGTGATCCTTGTGCTGCATTCAAGCCACTGAAAATCAGATTCAAACATGAACATAACTGAAATGGGTCCGAAGTGAGAATGTGATGGTGAGCAGCACGGTTCTCGTTTCAAGCACTGTGATCAATACGAGCTTAGGGTTAAGATTTGGAGTCTGGATGTGATTTGTGTTTTAAGCATTTAGGTATAAAACATTAAAAACAAGCACATGTGGTGATGTGGAAATGATTCAAATATATGAATATTAAAATCTGGTGTTTGGCCATACTGAGCTTTCAAGAGTCTTGATTTGTTTGGCTGCAAATTCAGTGCAAGAGGCTGGATCCTCATCCAAGATACTCAGTTTTTTCACTTGAGTGCTGGGCAAGAGGCAGCTCTGGCTGGAACATTTCTGGCTGTAATTGAATGTTTGCTGGAATATGGGAGATTTATACACAGACAAGTAAATCAGTATCTAAGGTAAATTTTGTCATGTCTGTGAAACTGGGATGAAAAATAGTTTGATTTTTTTCTCTTGCTTATTTACGCTTTTCAGAGTGAAATATTATGTATTCTAAAACCTTGTTTTTCCAAAATTGCTGCTGCTTGCATAAGGATATCGGAACAACCAAAGCAGTATTTCATTTTTGCCTGTCAAAACATAAATGAAGCCAATATTACACATTTAAAAAGTGTCCTTTCTGTGGCAATAGTCTGGTGCCAGATAATACCAAAGAACGTGTTGTCAGTGCCAAAATGCTCAATATGGGTCAGCGTTGGAATGATTTATTTCACTTTATTGGGAAATATCACATAAAGAAATAAGCCTTTGAGCAAAACATTCACTAACTGGAAGGAAATCAGTCTTTCTATTGCATTACAAACAGATAGACTTATTTTTCTTTAGTTGGCTGATTTTCTTTCATTTCTGAACACATTATTGCAGCTGACAAACTGCTAACTAGGTCTGTGGTAAAAGTAAAGTTCATGTGTTGCTTGCAGGAGCATTTCAGCATGTTTCCATGGGCTTAAATTTATTATAGGTTATAATGAGGAGGCATTTGCACGGTACCATTTCTCTGCTGGGCGGAGATAAATGAGCTAAATCTAAATGAACCACTGAAGGTACCTAAAGTAGACTTGTCCTGTGAGTGTGTTGCACTCAGATGTAGTGAATTAGCTCTTTTCATTAGTATCTGGGAAATAATGTGACAGCAGTGGGGTCTGGAGGAGCTCATGCTGCCTCTATATGGGGTATCCACAGACAGCTCAGAGAGAGGATGGCTGGAAGGACCATACAGGGACACCTCAGCTGGCTTCACGTGTACAATCTCCAGACAGAAAAGCAGAGGAATGTGATGCTGCATTCAGCAAAGTGGACTTGCGCACTTTGGAGTACTGTAAAATTATACTTTCCTTTTTTAATGGTTGGGAAAGTTTGCATTTGTTGTTACTTAGGTGTGTAGCACACTGGAATTAATATTCATTTTGTTATGCTGTGCAATTCGAGAGAAGTGCAGAGGTTAAACTCCACAGGAATCCCAGGTCTGACCACTTCTGTCAGGCAGAAAGTGGTTATCTCCTTATTGATGTGCTGAACTCAAATATTTATGGTTGGATTGATAAAACAGCTGTGAAATCAATTACATCTTTGTGTTTCCTTGACCAGTCAAGAGAGACAGAAGGAGATGGATGTCAAAAGGATTAGCTGGAAGGGATTCTGCCAGCACAGCCCGCTGCCTGTGGTGTGGTGCTGAACCATCAGCATCCCTGCAGCAGCTGGGGCGCTGATTTTAACTTTCCAAAGAACTTAAATTAAAAGCTCAGTTTCCTTTCTCCTCCATCCAATAGCCTCAAAATCTTAAGTTCTAACTTGCATCTGCCAGGATGCTGGGAGGCTGGTAGGTATTACAAAGGCTTGGAGAGCGTACCTTTGACTGTTCCTTGTGCTAGTAATATTTATTCTTTTAATAACTGAGTTTTAACTTCTCCAGTAGACATTAGGTGCGTTCACACAAGACATTCTCTTGCCTCTGGGATACAATCTTTTCATCCCAACTGGCTACCAGCTGCAAGCTGCAGTGATCTGAACATTCCTCCAAATTGCTGGTATTAATCTGTGTCCTGCTCTTAACTGTGCCTTCCTTGGAGGAAAAACAGAAAATAAAAAGGAAAAAAGCAATCCACATTCCTCTGCCAGTTTGGCTTGATGAAAGCAATTCCTCCTGAGCTCTCAAATCCACAGACCCTGGAAAGGCAGAGCTCTTTAATAGAGAGGTAAAATGGGCCATGTGACATGGAAAAGGAGATGAAAAAGGCAGTAATTGAAATTAATGATGGAGAAGGAGGGGAAGGGAAGCATCCTGTCAACTTTCCACTCCTCCCTGGCCAGTAAAGGCAGAGATCATATCTGGAGGAGGGTACAGGTCTTCATTTCTAGACAGCTGAGCTCCCTCAGCACTCTGGGTCTGCTCTGCACACTGCGCTGAGAGGGGAGGTCATGTTAATGTACCCCTATTTGTTCTAACAGGTATCAGAGTTGTTCCGTGAAGATAGGATTATTTTGGCAGCTGCTGCAAAGCCGGTGATGGCTCCGAGTGCAGCAGCTGGGAGGTAATACCAGGATGATTTCTGGATGAGGAGGAGGGAACTACTGCAGATACGACATTTAGAATTTGCTGACTTTGTACCAGTGCATGTTTGACTGTATACTGAAAACTCATCTACTTCCTCCCACACGTAACTCCTTCCCTGAAGTGAGCGTTCTTTCCTCTCATTTACATTTTCCAATGAACACTTTGAATAGCTCCCAATATTATGATTAAGCACCAGATCCTATGCACGACGTGCAGGTTGGTGAATGAATGTGGCAGATGGCTTTTGTGTGTTTCACTTATGTCATATCCTTGCCAGGACAAAGCTGGTGATTCAGATAGGGCGTATTTGGTTAGGATTAAAGGAAAAAGACTTCCAGTGTACAGCAGCAGACATGGACAGTGCCACCTTTTCCTACTGCAATAGGTTCAGGGACAAAAGTGTCTTCATTGCATTTGCAGTGGCACCTTTCCAGCCTTGATGTCCGTATTTACTTCTCAATCCCACTCTTTCATCATCCAGCTGGTTCAGGCGAGGGAAGTGTGTGCCAGCTCAGAGGGGGCACTGGTCTCTTTGTCAGATGCTTCAGCTGATGTTGACATGTGGCACCAAATAGGACACAAATTTTAGTGACTCTGACCATATGTTAGGTTAAATGCAGGAGCTTTTTCATGTTGATTCTGTCTCTCAATGATTCTGCTTGATATTCTCTCACACAGGCAGATCTAATTAGGGCAGATTACATTTGCTGATGACAATGCTATTCAGAGAGCAGCCTCATCTTGACTCACCTCTTGCTGGGTAAACAAACACTGAGTCCATGCTTTGTCACATCTCCAACGTTATGACATTGCGTTGCCATGTTTAAAAGATTTCCTCTCCTCGGTCATCCCCTCAAACTCTCACAGTAGGAAGGGAGCAGACTGCTCCTGGACAGACCCCACTGCCAGCCTGGGAGCTGTGGTGATGTAGCAGCATTTTCTTTCTCGCTGCTCCGGGTCCATCTTTTTCTCATTTGCTAATTGAAATAAACTGTTCCTATCAAAGCCACTTTCCCAAAGTGCCCTTATTGTACAAAATGTTCTGCCTGATAAATTAATGACTTCTGAAAAATATCCCTTTTATTTGATAAAATGCCCATTTCCGTAAAGCCTGGAGAGATGGTCAGAGAAGGGCTGAGGATAAAATGGGTTTTATCATTTTCTGTATATAAAGACCAGTCTTCTTTCTGGATAAGATTTTGCAAGTCTTTGGTCTTTTGAGAAGCAGCACTGATTCCAGCTAGCCTCTGGGAACTTACTGGTGATAGAAATTGAAGGGAGAGTAACCAAGTATGTGAACCACAATAATATGAAATGAATGTCCCAAATATATATTTTAAAGCCCATATTACTGCTAAAAGACAAGTAATAAAGATTGCCTTTATGTAGGACCTTCCACCTGGGAATCTTGTTATTACCTCTGGTTGTGTTATACATTTCAAAGTACGATTGGTTTTGAAATGCTTTGCTTAGAAACATGGCAGTAATTTTTAATTCATGTACTGCTGTTATCCCCAGGAAGAACATATATTCTCCCAGAGACTGTAATTTTATTTAGTAGCCAGGCAGTCCTGCTTTATTGAACTGGTGACTCACTGTTTTCCTGAGAAACTATAGAACTTGCCAGTTTAACTTCTCTTGCAGACAACTAAAAAGTCTAGGGTATGTGATGTGTGTCTTAGCAATTCGTCTCATAAAGAACAAAAAGCATGTAAACAGGGAAATAAATGCAAGCCCATCTGCAGTCATGACAGCCTCAGTTCTCTGCTTATTCTAGTGGAGCAGTGGCGTTGGGGCTGGAGGCTGTGGTGCTGCCTTGTCCGTTGCGGATGGACAGCGGTCAGGACATCCTGCATCTCTTCACGATTCACAGTATCCCTTCACAGTGGTTTAGAAAGAGAGCTGAGAGAAACCTGCACCTCAGAACTCCTCTCTAGCATGCCCAGTGCATCTCTTAAATAAATGAACACTCACCTCTGAAGAAGCCTCGATTAAAGCAAATGGCACGAGGGGACCTGCGTGCTCTTGCCGCACACAGCCTTTTAGTGTGTCAGAACTCAATTTGCGCTTCAATTTGAGGCAGATGTGAACCCAGAACATGCAAAATACCTGATAGTTCCATTAGGCTGAACAGCAGAAAGCCCTTTCTTTCTGGTGTTGCTGGTATCTGGCTTTGTACTGAGTATTTTAGTCATGCAACTTGGGAAAATGTAACTGGGCTGTTCAGGGTTTTGCTCTTTTCTTCATTTTGGATCCCTTTTATAGCAGAACAAAAACATGAATACTGAAAAGAAGGGCTTAACTATTGATAGCCTGTAAGTGAAGTGAGTCTTCTCTCCTGATTTCAAGCTGACACAAATGGATGGATAATACTTTTGCCTTGTCTCCTACACTGTGCTGCCGTACTTCCTCCTTTGCCTTCAAGTGCACGTCCCAGGGTTTCCCAAGAGCCACATTTCCCAGGCTATCAGAGTACCAAAAGATGTGGGTGGATTTGCAGAACAATCCAACTCCGACTGAAACCAGTGATTACCTGGAGTGAGGATGTCAGGACTGGTGTTCTGGGCTTTTTGGAGGAAATATGTTTTCTCTGCGTGTCTCTATCTAATATGTCACTGGGTGTTGGTTAACATAGGGGTTTTTTCTTTGGTTTGTTTTTGTGATTATACAGATTATTGCTTACCAGCCCTATGGGAAGTCTGTGGATTGGTGGGCATATGGAGTGCTGCTCTACGAGATGTTGGCTGGCCAGGTAAGAGTTACCCTCTCATGCTCACTGGGACTTCCTCCCGCAGCTGCTGTCTTTCAAGGCTGCCTAAAAGCCTAGACCATTAGAGGACAAGACCGGGGCATTTCATACATTATCTCCTTCTAGTCTTGACTGACTGAACTAAGAATGTATTTATGCTTTAAGCTTTTTCCATTGCACCCACATAATCAAGCACTGCCTTTGAATACGGCTTCTTTGTACCGTAATAATGTTATAAATAGCCATCTTCAAAATTGAATGGGAGACACTTGAGCAGAAAAATGCGTGTCAAGTTGAAGAAATGCCATTTAGTAGTTTGAAAGCACGGGGAAACATTATGAGAGTGTGTACATGCTCTGCATTGCAGTTAAGTCACAATAATACAGTTTTGTGTTGTATGTAATAGCAGTAAAGTAGGGGTCTCGCTACTTGAAATGTGCTCAGCTACAGACCCCTTATTCTGCGCAGTTAATGCGATGCTGCTCTCTGAGTCACTCAAGTAGAAAGGCAATACTGTACAGCAGTGAATGGCAGATAACTACCAACTTTAAGGAATTATATTAGTCTTGAGTTGGAAAACATTTCTGCAGTTGGCTTTCAATGGGTGTTAGCTAGAGGCATGCAGTTCCTAAGCTTAAAACATACATTTTTAACAAGTGCCTTTAATACTTTCTCTACCAAATTCCAGTTGGCATTTTTAAAGCTTCTAAAGTGTAGCAATTGCGGTTGTTAACATTTACAGTCTGCACTGCAAATATGAGGCATCTGAATGCTTTTCAGAAAATGAGATCTACCATTAGCTGAGTCCTGCTCCTGGTCTCTCCCCCACGGGCACTTTCTTCATCACCTATCTTTAAACATAAAATGCAGCCCTTTCTTGTGATTAGCTTCCCTTTCACAGAAGCAGAACCTACAGCCATGTTTTGTGAAACAAACTGGAGCATAACTGGAATTAAGTGGGGAATGGATCAAGGGAATTAAAAGTCAGTCTCCAGAGTTCACCCTTTTTAAGTATTTTGACTGTTGAGCGCACAGTAGCTTTAAAAACTGATAAAAGATGGACACAAAGATAATCCTGCACACATTTCATTAACCTGGCTGCCGTGTGGGGGCAGAAATGAACTTTTCTCCTCAGTTTCTACCTGAGCCTGATAAACCCTTCTGGGTCAGAAGATACCCAAGCTGCAGATGGCGGGGAGTTCGGTGTCTGTTCCTGGGTAAGGACCACTGCTGTGTACTGATCTCTTTGGGCATCTGTGATTGACAGGAGGCAGGTTGCTGGGCTGGATGCACCTTTGTTTGACCCAGTGTGGCCACGGGATTGTCATGCCATTTTACAAAAAGTGGAGGATTATTAAAAAAGGAAGTAACTTGCTGTGATTTATTTTCAACAGCCTCCATTTGATGGAGAAGATGAAGATGAGCTTTTCCAGTCCATAATGGAGCATAATGTTTCCTATCCAAAGTCGCTGTCCAAAGAAGCCGTCTCCATCTGCAAGGGGGTGAGATAGATGCTTTTTTATCTTTAAGTTCCTTTTTGGCAATCCTTGTGAATAACTAAATTTGTCTGGCTTTGATAAGGCACTGCTGATTTTTAAGTGCAACTTCTGTTAGGCAGTGCTAAGCTAAATTGTCATGAAGCGCCAATCGCTTGGTGTCACTGGTGAGCATTGAGCTCTTCCTGTGTTGCAGCTTTTCTTATGGTAAGAGCAAATGTCAGGATCAGTAGCTGCCAAATCCAAAATCCAAATCCAAAGCAGAATCCATACACCAAATCCAAAGTGTGGAATATCTCCACCCACCTCACCTCTCAACCCTCTGCAGCACAACCGCTGTTTTGCAGGTGACATTTTCAAGCTTGGATGGATACCAAATAGTCCAGTGAGTCTTCAGCCCAGTGTGCCCAATGACAGCAGCAGAGCTAGAGAGTTAATAATATTTAAATGTAGGTAAAGATGAGCTTATGTGAAAGTCTTTAGTGTAAATGCAAGAAAACCATGGGGAAATCCTGACCCAGGGGTAATCTGTGTGGCCTGAAATTGATCTTAAATTCCTAGGTAATTTAATTTGCTTTCAGGTTTGGGGGTTTTTTGGACTTCAGGGGATGAGCTCAGGGAAAAGAAGAATTCATTTGATTTCTGCTTTGGCTCCATGTGTTTCCCTGTAGTACTGTCAGTGTGTGGCTTTTTCAAACCACCTTCTATAAAGCATTCCCTGATGTCTTATTTCCACTGATAAAATATCACTGCATTTAGTGCCAGTTAATTTGGTGTTTACTTTCTTCCTTTCCTTTGCAACCATTTATGAAGCATTGCACATGAGCTGGATATTAATCCCTTAAGGAAAAATCATTAAGGAATAGAAAAGCTGTTTAGAAAAAACAAAGGAAAAGGAAAGACCATTCTACTTGTGGAATCCATCCCAGTGTAGATGGCTGGCCAACAAAAACTAAACATGATGATTTTGTAAAGTATATTCATATTGATGCCTTCCCATGAAAATCATATATTCAGACAGCATAGTTTGAACTTGATCTAATTACCCTGTTTTCAGTTCTCCTGCTTGCTGCTGTTCTGCTAGGGAGGTCAGAAAGCTAAAATTGCATTGCCTCCTAGGTTTAAGGTCAAGTCTCTGTGATATTAATATGTTCATCATCTGTATTAAACTAACAAATTAATCCCAAATTTCAGTAGGCATTATGCCTGATCTAGCAAGTCAATAAGAAAGCTTCTGAACCTTGTAGTCAGCAGTAGCTCAGCAATCCTGGGACCGTGCACCATTGGGCAAGGCAAATGTGCTCGCTGTGCTCTTGAAGCTGAATTGTCTGCTTGACATCTGTTCCACTGATTCAGTTTGTTGGGTTTGGTGAATGCAGGAAAAAGTGAAACTCCTGGAACCACTGTTGATGTTTTCCTCTGTCGCCTACTGTTAAGGGGTTTAGAAAAGGTAACAGAAAGGGGAAGCTTGCAGTAGGATGTGATTCCCAGCCCGGTGCACAGCTGAATTCCCAAAGTCTGCTTAGAGTTACTTTTATTTTAGGTTCAAAATTGGACTCTGATCAACTCGGCATTTGGAGGGAGGCTAAAGCAGAACAGCTGAGGTTTTAAAAAGATATGTTGAGGTATCACTCCCAGCAATGTATCAATCATATAGAATTTCTAAAGGAGCTTCAAACAGTCCCCACAATACTGAAACTGAGAAGTGAAGGCTGCCTTGCTCAGCTCCTCAGGTTCATATCAGTGGAAAAGATTTTGAGGAGCTTGTTAATGAAGGGAGCACATTATTGTTTCCAAGCATGCAAAGCTGGTGGCTTTTGGTTTTGCTTTTTTTTCCCCATCTGCTTATCTGTGCAACTGAGTATAGTATTGACCAAGATGTCATTAAGGATGCAAGGGAGGAAACGCAGATTAGATATTGTCAGCCGGGTGCCAACAAACTGTAGGCTCTGTAATGAGATGTCTTGAGCAAGCCCAGAAAAATGAAGCAGGGGGAGTTGTACTTTGTACAGCTTTAGTATACTGGCATTTATTGAGTTTAATTGATGGTTGAGGTAGGGCAGGAGCTGTTCTGGAGATTTATAAGACTGAACTGGAAGACCAAAGGGGAAATTCAGGAGTGAGTTGTGAACAAACCAAATGGCAATGTGCCCCAGGCACTGCCTGCCCACCACACCTCCAGCAGCAACCTCTGCTCGAGTGCAGACCTTCATTTTCCTGCTGATGTGCTGTCTCCAGTGACCAAACCAGAAAAGTAACCTTCAAAATGTGAATATTAGCTTTTCAAAACAATTCTATCAGCAACTTGGATCTTCAGGAGACGAGCAAGAGCGTTGTGGTCTGGGGAAAGTCCATCTCACTTTCATTCCTGCGTTGAGTTTAATCACTTGGTGTTTTCTTCCTAATAGCTAATGACTAAACACCCGGCAAAACGCCTTGGCTGTGGCCTTGAAGGTGAAAGAGACATCAGGGAACATGCTTTCTTCAGAAGGATCGACTGGGAAAAACTGGAAAACAGAGAGATTCAGCCACCTTTCAAACCTAAAGTGGTGAGTGAGATGCCAAGTACTTCCCTCGCTAATGGTGTCTGCAGTCATGCCTTCCCGCGGGGTGAGATTAATGTTGGCGTGATGGTGCTGCAAATCTGGGACACTGCTAAAATAAGGCAATTGGATTATGGCAGACCAGTCTGAAAATCTGCTCGTGTTCTGGTGTAACCCTGTGTACGGTGTGCCATGCGGAAAAGTCTCTCAGTGGTTTGAGTCTGGACATGCTACACGAGAAGTTAAAACAGGGAAAATCGGCATATTCACATCAGCCACTGTAATAAAGGCAGCTCCCAGCTGTCTCTTCTGAATAACATATGAAGTTAGTGATTAAAGGTATCTGAATTACTGGCGTACACAGCACATGGGGTTTGGATTCCCCATCCTCGAGTGACATCTGCTGAGTTTGCAAGAATGATCCCTGGTTTATTATTGATGTTTGCTACATGGTTTGCACGTCTATCTGCAGGAGTGTTTTAGAAATCCAAACAAGTGAAAGATGTGCTTAGAATGAGGGCTGTTTGTGTAATGGAATTTGAAGATCTGTGTTTGTTGATGCAGGATTTCTTTCAGTGGGCACCGTCCGCTGTATTGACAGGCAAAGAAAAGCATTGCACACTAGAGGACAAACATCCAGGAGCAGCTGTAAACTGTTTTGCCCTAACATTGACTCTTTCTTCTCCAACACTTTCTTTGTTTCAACTGAGATGTGTAGCTGGCTGTAGCGCTGCAGGTAGAGGATCCTTGCTCTGTACCTTTACCCACAGAGACCCGGTGGTGTGGTATCACAAGAACACATTCGCCTACAAGTGATTGTTTCACATCACTGGGACAGCTGCATGCTGAGAAGAGTGTTTTGTGCCAGGGAAAACCTCGTTCATACGCTGTGGATTTCGCACGCAGGGAAGGGTGTAAATAGGTGAAGAACGTGTGGTGCTGCCAGGCCTGACCAGCTCATCCCCAGGGCTCTCTGTCTAAGGGGAGCTGCACCTCTTGAAAGCACATTTTATGGAAGATTTTCATTGCATGCTTCTTGAGTCAAAGATAATCATAAAGGAAACCTACCTTCACACCTCTGCGTTCTGTTAGCTCAGGAGCTGAGTCCATGGAGCCTCCTTCAAGTTAAAAGTAACACCAGCATGAAGGTCCTAAACTCCTGAAGTGTGGTCTGCTTCCATCATAGCACGCTTTGTGGCAGATCCTGCCTCCTGTTTAGAGCAGCTATGCTCTATCTCCCTAGTTATCAGGACCTGATTTGTTTATACAGGCTGCTATTAAATACACCAAGGCATATTCACATGGAGCCTAACTTTGCCAGATGAAAAGGGCTTGAAATCCAAGTCTGATCTTTACATACCCTGGGTATAAATTTTATTGTGGTTGCTGATTCTGTTTGCATTAGAATCACAGAATCATTCATTAACTTGGCACTGCCAAGTCCACCACTAAACCATGTCCCTCAGTGCCACATCTGCACGTCTTTTAAATACCTCCAGGGATGGATATTGATTCTAGAAAGCAAAAAATCACACAACCCTTAATCTGTTTGAAGATGTGGATGTATTTATAGGGTTTGTTTGTAGGTGCATCTTCTCTGAGAAGCACATTGCTGCGGGAATAATCCTGCTGCTTTTGCACACAGGAATGGTTCTCATTCAAACACAGAGCTGCAGATTTCGGGTCAGCAGTTGGTCAGTTTAAATAACGTGTTCCCTTCCAGACTGACATTTCACAGGCTGTAGACACAGAGTGGTTATTTGGCAAGGACGTTTTACTTGTAAGTTTAGGAGTTCTAGGAGTCCCTGTTTCCAGTTTTGCTTTAATACTGCATTAACACAGTGCTGATCTTTAATGTGAAGACAGATAAGTATATGAAGATGCAAAATTATTAATATTTATAAATTCTATTGAAAATATATTTTTATAATATAATTGATAAATTATTATATTTGCACACACAAAAAAATACCCAAATTTCACATTAGTTATTTCTTAGCCTCTACTAATGTAAGCAATAGTGAGAGACCTAATGGAGTCGGGGATTTTGATTTCAATATACAGTTTGTTTGAATAGCTTCCACTTGCTGAAAAAAGAAGAGGAAAAAAGAAGAATAAAAGACAAAAAAGCATTATTCTGTAGAAGGGTGATGTGTATCTTTAGAACATCTTTTTAGCATAAAGTCTTCCCTGTATAAATAGCACTTCTTTGCTGCTCTGAGTTGACTGTACTGCCTCGGAATAAATTTGACTGTTAATTTGGGGATACATCGACTTTCATTCCACTGATGCAGAGATTTCCTCTTGTCAAAGTTGAGCTCTGTCCATTCTTGTTCTCCAGAGATTCTGTACCAAAATGCATTGGCTTCAGTGGGCACCAGGGTACTCGGTGAGTGAGAATCCTCGATGAAAAAGCAGATTACTTTTAGCCTTTAACCTCTTGAAGTGTCCCTCTGCTTGTGTCCTTCCAAGACTGAACAAGTGTCCTTCTGTGAGCACTGCAGTCCAGTACCTGAGCATGCATTTTTCATCTGAAATATAAACCAGCTTGTGCCTCAGGCAGCAAAAGTTCTTTGCAGCTCAGATCAGATGGCATGTGCCAGTCCAGGATGTGCCAGGTGCTTTGCAAGAACACTGGCAACTGTGCTATTTTCAAGACAGCCAAACATCTCACCCTTGAATTCCCTTAATGGGCCCTCTTCAGTTGGTTTCTCCTATAAATACACAGATTTATCTATGTTGCATTAGTTTAGAAAAATCAGTGTTTAATGTTGGTCTGTTTATGAACCGTATTCTACCCTTTCCAAGTTATCCTTTAAGGCTGAAGATAATAGTGTCATATTATAGCCTCTAAATTCACATATAGATACACTGTAGGGATGGATAGAGAGGAAAGAGGGACAACAGGAAGAAAGCTTCAGTGCTTTATCATACAACCACATTTTGCTTGAATATCTGTTACAGTAGAGTTTTGAGATGAGGTTGACCCGTTTCCTTTAGACCTCTCCACAGTATTCAATGCATAGTCTTCCCCAGACATGCATTTTTTTCTTGCACCCAAGCTGATTTTGTTCTGGTCCCACCTTCATCCTTTTTAACTTGCTTCTAATGCTACTGCCCTGCCTTTTCGAGTGTTCTCTGCATTACTCAAAACTATCCTTTCTGCAAACCCGGGTTCTTTTGTTTTCTATTCTGAATGGGTTGTGTTCATGTGTCACTATATATAACCACCTTCTTAGCTGGGCTTCGTGAGATGATGTGTCTCTTCTCTTAGACAAAAAATGGAGGAAACCTGTGATAGCACATTTTGGGATGAGGATCCCAGGATGCGCTCCCTGCCCCAGCTCCCTTCGGCGGTCCCCAGGACTGAAGCTCTGCTGTTTTGAATTTACCAGCTTATATGCTGTACAATGGAGAACCAGAGCATACGGATGAATTGCATTTAGCTTTCTGCAGATTGTGAAGGAAAAAGAGACTAAGAGGAAAATTCAGTTCTGCATCATAAAGGTTTTAAGAAGAATTAAAAGACTTCACAGATAAAGTATCTCTTGCCAATACATGTCCATAAAAATACTTTCTTTCTCCTTTTATATCCCAGTAATTCTGAATATTTCACCCTCTTTACCTCGTCACCTCATTCTGTTAGGTGGGAACTTCTCAGACTCTGTTTTTCATCAGAATTTGTCTGTTAAAAACTTCTCTGTTTGCCTGGATTTTGTTGTTAAAATAGCTGAAAAGAAGATTTTCTCTTAACTACATAGGAGAAAGAAGGGAAAGGCTTACATGTGTCCTGAAAAACTCACAAAAAGCTGGAACTGCCGATCCATTGCCGATGCTTTTTCAGCCCTTTTCCTGTTTCTCTTTGTTTCCTTGCAGTGTGGCAAAGGTGCCGAAAACTTCGACAAGTTCTTCACCCGAGGACAGCCGGTGTTAACGCCTCCGGATCAGCTGGTCATTGCTAACATAGACCAAACAGATTTCGAAGGGTTCTCTTACGTCAACCCCCAGTTCATACACCCCCTTTTACAAAATGTAGCGTGAAGCAGCAGAACGGGAACAGATCCCGCAGCAGGGAATGATCTTTAACCCTACAATGTTTAGGCTTTTGCCTTGTTTGATTCCATTCGGGCCTGGAAATTGTAGGGTTAGAAAGTGTAAGATGGGGGGGGAAAGGCCACTAATTCAGGTTTTTGGCTTTGCAATAGCGGTGTTGTCTTAATGGGAGATAAATCAGTGCACGGTGCCCACTTACCCTTCTAGAAGGTGCCACTGACTTGGCAAAACTTACCCAGTTTTTGGTACGTTTGATCTTTTTGTAACTTCCTGCTGTCCTTTTGCTCCCTTTTCCACTCTGCTGTGTTAGAATTCATCTAACACGTGCTCTGAAAGAATAAAACCACCTCGAATATTGAGTCCTTCTGTAGAGATGCTGGGAGACGAACGCACTGATTCCCGAGGGACCGCTCCTCCCGGTGACTTCAGGGAGGTGGGCAGCACAAGAGGCTGGAATGGAGGCATCACTGAGAGGGAGAGGCATTGCAAAGGAAATGTTGAAAGCAGTTGTTATGAAAATAGAACAAAACCAATTTGGGTGAGGGTGGGAGGGGGGGATAAAATCAAATTAGACCTTTGTGGCTATGATCCTATAAGCAACTCCAAGTTTAAACGCACTTCAGCGGTGGCCAGATCTCTAGGATCTTTGCTAAGTAGCATGTGATAAACTCAAGGGTGAATTTTTGTCTTTAATAATAATAATAATAGTAATAATTTTAATAATATTTCTGTGAATTTTAATCTCCATGAGATTATTCTGTGATCCAGGGTGCCATTGTTTGTTCAGTTAAGTTAATTTACTCCTCAAGTTTACTGCTAACCGGTTCTAATACCAGTATTTTACTATGGGATTTGTTAACCTGGAATGTAAAAGAAAACTTGTTTATTTACTTATTTACTTGTGTTTATTTATAGTCTGCAGTATAGGGCAGTAAATGGAAGAAAGCGTTACATATCCTAAATTCACAACACATAGAGCCCCAAGTGACTTCCTGATTCCTTCAGAATAACTCATGAAAATTAAGTGAGACATAAAAATAATCAGTTTTAATTCAGGAAACTTTGGGCTGTCGAGTAATAAAGCCTGAAAAAAGAAGCACCTAAAACTTGTTTTATTGATAGAATGGAATTTAATACATTTTACATACGCTTCATGCAATGAATTTTGCATGTTTAGTAATAACTCTTAATAATAAGGGTTAATAATAAGCAGATCTATAATATCAACATAATCTTATCCAGCATAGAGTATTATAAAGATTTTATAAAACAAATTGTGCTTTATTTGTGAACCTTCTTGTTCTGAATGACATCATTTAGATTTAGCTAAATGTTTTATTGCTGTCGTTTTGATTTTTACTTTAGGGTTTGGATATTCTTAATGGCTTAGGGAATAATCTCTTTTTTTAAAAGTAGAAATACTTTTAAACTCTAATGGCTACCTGCAGGTTTTATACAAGGTTCAATTAGGCTTTCGTTTTACGTCTGCTTATCACTTACAGGGAAGGAAATCGACTTTATTTGCAATGATGAACACTGTAATTAATGCAATCTTCTCCTCTCCTATCACTTAGATGAAAAATTTTGATAGATCTTCTTACAACTCACCAGAAGATATTAACTCAGATATCAGTGAATACTTTTTGTGCATATTTGGGTTTTGTTACAGCATGTAAAATAGTAGTCAGTGCATTTTCCTTCTTTTTTTCTCCCTTCTGCCTTGTTCCTGTTAGCAGCCATAGGCACTTTTTGTCTGTCAGATGTGCATGCCGATGCCGGAAGCATGATGTCTCTGTTGCTGCATGCAGACTGATTACAGTTTTTCCAGCATGTAAACATATTCAAAAAGTAAGATATTTGCCATAAAAGACTTAAATTTATACTAGAAGATGTAACTGGGGAGGGGGTGGGAGGGGAATCTACTTTCTAATCATCTTTTATGACAATAAAACATGGAACCTGTGCCAAAGATTCTGTTAGAGCGATCCAATCCTGCAAACTGGTATCCAGGTGGATGGGTTTGACTAACGGGGGTGACCCGTGGTGGAGTGGGACAGTTTGTGTGCGAAACACACCTGGATTTGAGTGGTCACTGCTGTGTTTCTGCTCCTGGGGCACGCTCGGAAGCTGTATTCTTGGTGCCTAGGACACATGATTCACAACACTCCAGGGGTCTCACTTCTGCCTGGTGATAATCCTTTTGCAGCCCCAACTTGAAGCAAAGAGCATCACCCTGGGTAAGAGCGAACAGCAGGCTTTAATGGGTGAACCGAACCATTCCAAGGCATGGGAAAACACACAGCTAATGAGGGGCATTGACCAACGAGCAAGAACTCGGGTTGTTGCCTAAATAAACAGAACTCACCATTTTTAAAACATTTTAGGAGTCAAATTTTTAAACCATTCTGTGTTAAATAAGTTACCAGCCAGGTCTGGGAGTTCATTTTCCTCTCTGTGTATTATATATGGTACTCACCATAAAGCACGTGGACTAATGCTGCATTCATGACTATTTATGTTTTTCTGAATATTATTAGTCTGCTACAGCCCGGAAGATGCAGAAGCATCACGCTGTAGAAGGTAATAGATGCAACAGATTACTGAGGCTCAGATGTGAATAAAGAAGGGGCTCTCAAGTAAGTCAGTCTGGCGAGGGGCGGCTTTAGGTGTGTTCTAAGAATGTGAAGTGGAAAAGACACTTAAGAAAAAGGAAAATACTGGGAGAAATCGCAGCACACAGGTTTGGGAAGGAGGAAAAGCATTGTAGGGGCAGAACTGAGCTGTGCCAGAAGCAAACAGGGTATCGCATGGGTAGACATGCCCAAACAGTTCTGGTGTTCCTGGTGAAATGGGCATTGTACAGGGAAGCCCCATTGCGGGCAGATGTTTCTGGCACAGCTGCGATGGTGGGTGCTGGTCGCACCAGAACGTGGCATTAAAGAGGTGGTCCAGCATCTGAACAGAGCTGCTCATTTTTTGGCTACTTCTCAAAACCGGTTTATTGGGCATTTTGTTCACCAGTTTTCCTGATGTAGAAGCAGGAATTCCTCTTTATTATTGTTACTTCAATAAGCGTCCCTGCGCTTGTGACGGCTCATGTCACCTTCTGTAGGTTTCTGTAAAGCTTATGAAAGGTATTTTGAACTCAGGGCTCCTGCAGGAACAGGACAGGGTTGTATTAAGCAGGGATTCGGTATTTGTGCTCCTTCTCACTGCTCTGCCTAATGCCCTTGTATGTGAATGCTCATGCTTGGAATCTTTAATGAGAACTCTAGGTGGCTTTCTTACCATCAGGAATTTATAATGGCAAGTAGAACTGAAGTATCCAGCCAGCCTTTTCGTATCTTTTTAAATACAGATCTTATTTATATACTGTTTTTCAGGAGATTTAGATTTCTAGAGAACAGGCATCAACAGGGGGAGAGGCATTAGAACTGCTTTTCTTTCACTTGTGTTCCATAGCAGCCATAATCTGAAAAGACACGTTACAAGTCAAATTGAGAATTACAGTACACTCAAGCTGGGGTGGAAGTTTTGGGAGCTGTGTTTCCATCCCACATGCACTTGAATCCCAAGGGGCTCTGGGGCAGCCCCGTTCCTGTTGGGGGGAAGCGCAGGTCTGCAATGTAAACTTCCAAGCTGTGTTTTCAGGGATTAAATGGAATTTAACTGTCTCCTAGGTAAATTTCTTCATTATTCAAGCACCTGCGTGTTCTTATCCACCTTTGAGTCAGCTGAGCAGGGTGGTGGGTTTCCAGCACAGCCACTTGGCCACCAGCCAGTCTTGGATTGCACATAGATGAGGAGGAGAGAGCACATTCCCATTACAAAATACTCCCCCTTAATCCAGTTTAGAGAAGAACTGCAATTTAGCTCTCTGATCCTTTATTCTTTCCAGAAATACAATTGGATTTCCTTCTACACATTGAAGAAAGTTCTGGAAATCAGCTGTTTAGAAAGAAAGAAACTCATGTTACACTGCTGGCCTTTACAATCCATCCTGTCTTTTGGGGTGAATTTGATTGAATAATGCTGTAAAATTGGTAAGGTAAAGAGAGAGGAGCTTGCCTTCTAGATGGGAGGGTGACATGCTCAGGGGCCGGGGTGGAATGGTACAACTTCAAAGTCTCTTTCCTCATTCAGTGCATCCAGATGCAATCCCAGTTAGATGCCACAGGAGACACATGCAATTAGCAGAGGGGGAAGACCCTCTTTATTAAGCAAAACACATCACTGGAAATAATAATAATCCAATAATAAAGCTTTGATATGAGTAGAAACATATTTACAGTATTGAGTTTACAGTGAGCTTTTGGGCCTGCCATGTAACTTCTGGAAACATCTAATGTGATTTTCAGTTCTTTTGGTCAGTACCATAAACTACTGTACATAGGTCTTGTCTTTTCACAAACATGGGTGTCAGCGCTAGGCAGTGCTACCTCTGTGCACTAAATGGCCAAGTAGAAAAGCAGACAAGCTAAAGCACCCTTTTACTCAGCTCCACGCTTTTAAATGGGATCTGAAATAGTTCAGTTGAAGAGCTAAAGAACTGACTCCCTAAGTATATGTGATTTCCTATCAGCCAGTAACTGTGCCAGTAATGACTAGTAATTAAATAGCCTTATAATGAATAATCATCATGCACTACAGCCCTCCTGTTCCTAAGAAAACTAAGAGAGAGGGCAAGTTATTAACCTCTCTGCCTCAGTTACCTCATCTGTAAAATGGGGATAATAATACTTACATATCTCACAGGGAGGTGTGAGGACTTCTTAGGTAATGTTTCTAATACACTTTTAACCTGAAAAGAGTTGTGTAAGTATTATTATAATTTTTAATACTAAATCAGCTTATTCCCGTGGTGTTGCTGGATATACCATGCTATTTCTGCTTTTTATAGAACTTTAGTAATTCAGCTGAAAACGTGTGAAGAGAAATAAGAGCCAATCTGATACCTTTCTTAAGAGAACCTGGAGTCCAGCTTTTGTTAACCAGAGTCAGGGTGCGGTGGAGGTGATGTGATGCTTACTGATGGTATGGGTGAGCAGGATTCACCTCTTTTCCAGTTACTGAGATTTGTGTGCAGTTGACAAATTCCATGTAGATGGAAGTCTTAGCAGAACTGATTCTTGTAGGGTGAGAGTCCCTATGGGTGAATAAAGACAGCACAGCAGTTTTCTGGTAATGTTTATACTGACTCCTATTGAAGGAGAAGTGATGTTCTTCATGCAGCTGGGCCATCCATGAGAGGTTGATTCCGTTGATATATTAATGTGTCCGTGTGTCTTGTATCCTCATGTGTTTCTTTTCCTTGTGTGTGACGCCATAATTCAGATTTAAAAGAAAACTGCCCTAAAAGCAATGTTTTTTCTTCTATTAATGTCAGTTGACCAAAAAAAATATAAAATCAGGAGTCTGTTAATGATTTTAAACAGTGATGTGCAGTAAGAGTAGCAACAGCACTGATAACCAGCCCCAGCCTGCTTCTGTTGAAGCTCATTTCTCACTGTGGGATACATTGGAAAGTCTAAAGCTGACATTACATTCATTTTATACTTTTAAGTTGGTGACAGAAATATGTTAATAGGAAGGAAAATGATGTTTCCAATCTTCATAAACCTTCTCCTAAGGACTAGTTGAAGGCCAGGTTGGACAGGGCTTGGAACAACCTGGTCTAGTGGAAGGTGTCCCTGCCCATGGCAGGGGTTGCAACTGGATGAGCTTTAAGGTCCCTTCCAACCCAAACCATTCCATGACTCTATGACTATTTGAAATCTATTATATTTATCTATTTCCCCTCTGTTTGAACCAGTAACTGCCAATGGCTCCATCCTCCCAGAGGTTTGTGTGCTCCTGTCTTGGCCTTCCGGGGCACCCTGGAGTGGAATCACTATGTGCTTGGAGCTCGCTGCATACTCAGTGCATTGAGTACACAATGCTTAGTACACTGGAGCTTATAAACCCCAGTTTGTAAAACTACTGAGAAAGTGTTTGTGCCCAATGGTATTCAGCAGAGCGCAGACATTTGGGCTTCCCATCCCATAGAAGTCAGTGGAGTTTGCACATTGGGATGACTTGCTGACTTGAAGCAGAAAAAAACCAATCTTGCAGTAATAATACCAATTTAATCTGTGACAGTTCCCCACAAAGCCTTTCATTTATCCTCTCCTGTGCTATTAAAATGAATGTAAGGAAAATAGTTTCAATGACATGAAGCTCTTTGTATCTTTTAAAAACGTGCATTTCCCACACGTTTGGCTTAGTACACAGAGCACACCTGAAACCTTTAAAGTGATTGTATGTTCCTGTAATACTACCTTTTTAAACAAGGAGTAATCCCACCTTGGACTCATTCATGGTTTTTAGTGTTATTTTCAGACCCGGATTTTGTGCTTATAAGAGGGAGAGCTTTATTTCTTATCATTTATCTGCGAGATTCTACCAGAGGATTTGGAGAGGCCATTCATTTTTCAAAAAGTAATTAAAAAATCACTGTCATTGGAAGTGCAGTGGGCAGGACCGATGTATAAATCACAGCATCGGGTTTTTTCTCAGATCGCTGTATCTTCAATCCTCGTTTGCATGAAATGCTCCTGTTAAATATTAATTGTAGTTTCAAAGCAAGTTGTGTATGAATAAAAAATACTGATCATTACTTGGGTGAGAGTTTGGGCTGGCTTTATGAAATGCCATTTCAAAACGGACCCCACGCAGCCCAGAGGGTGCACAGATTACGGTGGGATGAGCCGCAGAGGTTGGCCAGACCCAGACCTGGATTCTCCATCCATACATGGAATTTTAACCTGGGTTCTTTGTTAATTCCTGTTAACAAGGGGGGAAAGAGGCTTAACTTGGGGTCGGATGTGTCTGTGAGAGGATTTCTGCATGCTGAGAGGTGAGCAGTGGCTCTTTGGACCAGCACATCCCTGGCTGACCTGCTTGCTGTGCTCTGTTAGAAGCATTGAGCTGCTTTGGGTGCTTACGCCGCAGGGAAACACAGCCCGAGGATGAAGTGAGATCTGAGGCTGGAGGCTCTGATTCAGCGCTTGATGTGAGATGTGATGGAGGAGGGATGTGCCCTCCTTCCTAGCAGTTAGACCCTGAGAAACCTCAAACTTCTCTGTTTCACATCCCTGTGTGTGTGAGCCCAGGTGGTTCCTTCCACCCTCTGCCACTTCCTGGGGAGAGGGCTTAGTTTTAACGTGATTAAGGATGCCCAGGGGCCCACTTTTGCCATGAAATGCTTGTTTTAACACTCCTGGAGGGAGGGATCGCAATCTCCCAGCCCCACCACCTGTACTCACCCCCAGTTCAAGCGCTTGCCTCATTCAGGCTGACAATGTACAAATATTGTGACAACTTGATAAACGGCTTCTTT